GAAACTGCGTCATATATTCAAATCAATTTTTTCACACATTTACGATAATCGATGAAAACAATGCCGTTTTTTAAATACCTTATTACAAAAGTATAATGAATTTAATTATCAGATTCGTTACCATATTTAGCACGTTTTTTTTTATGAGGAAATCATATCGTTGATCAGGAAATTTACTCCTTATTAGATCTCGTAACTTTATCGATATCACGAAACACGATCCTCAAGCGTGTCGTTTATAGAACTGCTGTGAAACTTCAGTACGACCTCGTTTGCAACTGCAAAGGTGTATGCACGACACCCTTTTCGTGACAAGGTGGTTCACGCGGGCGAATGTTCGGAAATTTGTCTCGCGACGGAAACTTTTTCAGAACGTAGTTTCGTCGCCGGATGTTAGGTTTTGTACAGAGGGATGCTTGCTTACTCGAATGTCACAGTTCTTGCAAGTTCTATCTGTGACGACCAACTGTCACACATTTTGTTGCCGACTGTTCAAAGTAGCTACGGTGCATCGTCGTGACAATGCAAACTCAAAAGTATATACGCTAATTAGACGAATATGATGGTAAAATGAAAAATTAGATTCTTAAGAAGATGTAAAATATCTTAATCTTATAATCAAAAGCAAAAGCGATACTAAAACAGTACATTTTTTTCGGAAAAGTCCTTAATTCTTAGTTAAAATGTCCTATCTAGTATCTTGTTCATTTTATAAGATATATCTACATTTATCGAGATATAAATTTTATAAAAGAGATTAAAGTTCTTCGCGTTTAACGATTTTACTTTCAAGTGAATGAGGAAAAGAGAAGACAAATAAAAATAGCACGAAAGTATAATTCAGTTTTCTCGATTGTTTTAAAATAATAGATAGAGCACATCTGGATTTAGTCACATATTAAAAATCAAGATTAAGAGAAGATTTGACACAGAAAAAATAAATTTCTGTACTTTTGTACAATTAATATGGCTCCTTTAAATAAATTAATGCTACAAACTCACACTTAGAAAAACGTCTGCCTAATCCACTTTTATTGTCGACGTGTGATTTAGAGAGAGGAGCGTGTATTCTTTGATATACCTTTTGGCAACAGAGTTTCAGAAATATCGTCATCATCTGCTATTATGCCACGTGTATTAACGAACGATGTTACAAGAAATATTTATTACGGTTTTGTACTGAATCTGAAGGTTGTCTGGCAGCACGAGACCAGGTGTTGTAAAGTAAATGCAAAGAGTGGCGCGCGCAGAAGTCCTCGTTCACGTGAAGTAGCACGGAAGAAGGGACGATTTATGGTCATTAAATAATTTAACGAAATTTATTCCGCCGCCTTCGTTCCAGGAACTCGCGGCATTAAATTTTCGAGGCACGAACGTGTGTCTACGATTGCGATATTAATGGTCACGGTGTAATAGGGATCCGATAACTGGCTACCGGCCAACAATCGACTCGCCTCTGCTTCATTGCGAAATTCCGCGACCGAAGAAATTGCACGGGGCTCCGTTCCGACGTACGCTGCACGTGCCTGATAGTTTTCGCATCGGGCGTAGTTTTCGCGCAAGGAATCCAAGCAGACACGTGCAAACACGTGCAGAATGTTTCGCTTCTCGCCATTATCACGTTGGAACATTAACGCAAAAATTACGTGTTCTGAAAAATTTAGATACACCGTGAAACTTCGTCCTCGTTCCACTGCATGCAGCGAATAAATTTTTTCTTTAACCACTAACCAAGAAATAACAAAGTTCTTCACTTTCAAAGAATCTTTTGCCTCGTCCTCTTTTCTCTTACAACAGTATAGTCGTCGCGATTACTCTGTCGTAGCGCCTCTTAGTTTTTAATGCAACTGTATCGGAGATAACTCGCTAGGACGAATGGTCTTTCGACAACATGTTTAATCGAGCACGCGATTGTATTACGAAAAGTAAATTTCAAAACTTGCTTAAATTAAAGAGTCTCGTTCGCAACGTTCGAGTGAAAATCAGGTGAAAATCGGAGAGGAAGATAGGTATCAGAAAATTGCGGAAATCTTGGCCGAGATATCGACAATTGCCCGTATCGTAATAATTTCACCATAAGTTCGTTGGTCGATAATAGAAGATCTGGACAGGATCGTAGATGAAGTTTCGACGTTATCGCGAAACTATAGCAGAAACTTTTCATCGGGCCGGGTCATTGGCCCGCAATCGAGAGATACTTAGTCGGATAGAGCACGCGATGCATTAAGACCGAATTTAGTCGACGCGGCGCGATTCGGTGCATGCACTCCCGGCTCGTGCATTCGCGTGACTCCGCTGGCGTGTAATAAGTGAATTCACGTTCGCTCGGGCCGAAAACTTAGCTGACAAACTCACCCGCCGCACTGCACGAGGCCATTCAGCTCGCGAAACTCCCTTGTTTTGAGTCTGTTTAACGATTTCCCAGAGACCTGCTTTTTCGACGGACCGCATGCAACGGGCGAATGCGGTCGTGAACTATGGATTCGCTAGCGGGACCGCATGCAGGTTCGCGTGTGTTCACCCCTTTCGCCTGCCCGCGGTCATTGATTCGCCGTCATGTTTATTCCTAGTACTTTGCCTCGTATATTCGATTTAAGGCACTCGACTTTGCTACACTCGCGATATGATTTTCACCACCTGAGAATTTTCTTGATAATTTCACTACGGGGAACTTGAGCATATTGTATTAGAATACATCAGATCGATAGTGGTTTCCGTGTCGAATTTGTTATATGGGAACCATCGTACACTGTGGTAGGGTGAAGAAAAAAAAAAGAAGAACGGATCTATTCGTTTATTTTCCTGCATTTTCCTTTAGGCAAGGAATATTCATTGACACGGAGGGACGTTCCACATGGATACGACACATACCTCACATCCATTTCGCACATCCGTGCGTCAGTCATACTTGATGGATTCGTCGAATATGTCGAGCAAAAATAGTAGAGGCTCAGAATACGCTTTCACGTTATAACGAAAATCCAGGCAACGAGTCGCGAGGATTGGAAGAGTCTCAATATCAATAAGTATTAAAAATAGGAATTCCTTTCGAAGGAGAAAAAATTTTCATAGCAAACTCGTTCACGCAGTTCGGCAAAAGTTGTATAATGTCCCGATATGAGAGTCGATAAAACTTTATCTACTGTCTAGCGGACACTTCTTTCAAAGTTCACGTGCTAGTATCGTCGTAATATGAGTAACTTTTACCTCTTGCAATTTCTTTCTAAAGACGATTTCAGATTTTGTATCCGCTTTCTTTTATAGAATAAAACAAAAAAAAAAAAGAACAAAGAAAAAGGAGAAAAAAGGAACTACGTTTATTTCATTTGAGAACAGCGTACGATATCAGTATCGTTCGTAATACTTTTGTCTAAAAGCTAAACGAGAGATACGTCGGTATAAATCCAATGAGAAACGCAGCCAGATTTATCTTTTCACGAGGACGTCACGTTTGTCGGGAAAATCACGAATTGCGGCTCGTGTCGCGACGGAGCGGAGGATTAGATTACTTAGAAGCGTTCCCGAGGGTTCAACCATAAAGAGGTTTATCATGACGAGAAACAGAAGAGATGGAAGATGCAAAGGAAACGAAAGCGTTGGCCGCCAGTATCGTAAAAACTGTGCGGACGGGATTCGTCGACGGTCGGAGCGTGCAGCGGCCATTAAGAAAAGTCGAGTTCAATAAACTTTCGAACAAAACGCTGAGTTATTGATCTTCCAGTTACGTCACGTTACCTCTTTTCCACCTGCCAGCTCGTCTATCGAACCGTACAGACTCAAACCGCATTTCCAACACGCAAATGATCCTTAAAAAGTACCTCGAATCACGAAAAAGTTAACGAAGCTCCCTTCGCCTTGATTTCTGCATTTTTACTCGTCGTGTGTTCCATCCGTATCGATCCGTTTCAACCAATCGGTCTTCGTAAAGGCAATAGGTGCGCACGAAATCGCGACGACCTTTCTTACGTTTTGATCGTCAGATTTGCATTTCCCTTGAGAGTACAGTAAAAGTAAATAAATAAGAAATTCACTGAATAAATAAATACAATAGAAATATAAAATATCAATTAGTGACAAATAATTAGCTATAGTTATAGGGAATATTAATTAGTGACAAATTTAGATATAGTCATTTGAAAGAAAAATTGAAAATTGTTACATTTCTGTTAATAAGTTTAACATTAACCGAGATATGATTGAACTTTTTTGTTAGTAACGCCTATTTCTCAAATTGAACGTGAAATAAATTTCTATGCCATCGTTAGTTAATTTCTGAGGACGAGATCATTCTTCATTTTCATCAAATTTACAATGTACAACGTGTAAGAACTGTTCTTTGACTTCAATAGCGTTGGATCTAAATTTATTTTATAGAACATTCTGCTAGTTTTTTCTTCTCCAAGTTCAGTTGATTTTTAATATGAAATATCATGGAAAATAACATGAATATTCCGATACACAGGGAAATTTGCAAATGATTTTGTACCTTTATCAAAGATAACAGATGAGTCGAGTGGATTCGATGATCGATTGGAATTGGTTTTAATTTTCCTGTACATATGTCCGGCGTACAAAATTGTTCGAATCATTTATTTCTTTCAGAATTCAATGGTTAGAAAGTTACGTTCGTTTAGTTAGTGAACGGGTTCGATATTAAACGAAAAACGTATATTGAACAATATCCTCTTTATTTTATTCATCAACTACATCAACGCAATTAGAACTTACGATAGATAATTATGAATATAACTATCCATTAATTCGAATTTACGATAAATAGTTAGGTGTTAATTAATAAAATAGTTATTAAACAGATGGGCCATTGTGTTATTCCACAATTAAGGGTGTCGAAATAACGATGGTGTTGTCGTGTGGTCAGGATCGATATTTCATTCAACGACCTAATTCCTGATTTACGACCGACCACCAGCTGCAATGGTTCCCGATTCGATCGGGATGATATATCTTCAACGCGATCGTTTTCTTCCTTATTAGCCGATTCAAGCGCCGAGAAGCCGCTTCACCAGATAACCAGGGAAAGCATAAATTCCGCAAGCTGCCAACAATATTATCAGCACGCACATGAAGAAGCCTATTATCCTCCATTTGTAATACCGACAAACAATGTAACGGAATGCTTTCCACGGATTCCGGAACCAGGAGAACGAAGTATCCGGTCGGCTGTAAATTAAAGAAAATGAGGCCTCTTCCTTTGTGATTGATTCGTAGTGAAAAATGATCGTCAACGCTCTCAATCGGATCAACAAATATTTATCGGTCGAGTTTAAAGGCCATCAACCGATCGCTTATTAATAATATAATGGCGCTTTAATGTATCGAGTTTATCAAATGTGATCGAGTTTAATTACAGTCATCGAATGACGATCATTTCGTTCGAATAGCTATCAAACGTTTGGATTTAATCGGTTTTGTTCGTTATCGTTGCGTTATTATTAATGAAA